TCCCTGCCAGGCTTTTGACAGGTGACTTTCTTGTTACATCTAAGTGGCTTTTCTTTGGAAGACTGAGTATAGGAATGAGCAACATTTGGAAGCACTGGGTATGTCTTAGGAGCTCTCTGGATGACTTAGGGGCCACCACTGGTGGTCTGGGGTTACTTACAGATCTTACATCTTTGTCAACTGCCGGGAGCCACCCTACCAGACAATGGTGTAAGGATGCTGTGCAGATGTTAATGTCCCCTTGTCCCCTTCCTCTAATCATTGCTGCCTCTCAGCCCTTTCTCTGTAGCCGTAAGGGACTCAGCTGCTCTCTCCCTGGGTCTGAAGCAGAGGTGCAAATCCTGGTTTCCTACAACTATTGACTTTGGAAATTGTGAAACTCAGACAGGTATAGTGGCGTGTGCTTGTCATTCCAGCGCGAGTTCAAGGCCAGCCTCAGCTACATAGTGAATCTGAGGTTACCCTGCCTGAGTGGTCCTCACTTGGAGCCCCTCCCACTCTTGAACATTTTCTTAATTACCCTACAGACCATCGCATCAGCAGCCTTGAGAAGGACAGGAAGATGGGCTGGGGGTGAAAGAGAATGTCCAGAGAAAAACAGGATTGATTGTCAAAATAGCATCTGAAGGTGAGATACATTCTTACTAAGATGGAACTCCATGGAGGGCTCTGGGGAGAAGGGCATTTAGGGTGTTTTACTCAAGGGTGAGGTGGAAAGGTCTTATAACCACAGCTATTGTTTAGGTAACTTCTCCTGAAACCCAGTGACTAACTTTCATGTTGTTCTCTGTTTTAATTGCTCAGAGAAAAATGAAGCTGCCCGAAGTGGTCTGGTAGTCCTGGTCCCCTTTCAGTAAATACTGACCAAATGTACCAAATGATCCACCTCAAAATCCCAACAGGTTTCCGGTTCCATAGGTCTGGTCTCAGATTACTTTCTGTGCTTAAAATACCCACCTCAAGGCTGTGCGCACTGTTAACTCAAAGCTATCATCATCATTATTTTATGTGCTTGTTTTGTCTGCATGCTTGTTTGTGCACTTTGTGCCTAGTATCCTTTAGATCTCCCAGACTTGGGTTGTAGATGGTTATAAGTTACCCTGTGAATGCTGGCAACTGAACCAAGGTCCTCTGCAAGAGCAAAAAGTGCTCCTAACTGCTCAGCCATCTCTCCAGATCCAGGCTCACCTTCTGCCTCAGCCTCCCTAGAGTTGGGATTGTAAGAATGAGCTACCACACCAAGTCTGGAACCTATGTTTTCATTAAGATGTTAACTTTAATTATAAAAGCAATGTAACTAACTATATTGTGGCTGTATTATAGAAAATAGAGACAGTAAGGTAAATTCCATTTCTTGAACATATGCATCACTCCTTTATAAAGTGCACTGTGTGTGCTCTTTCTCTCCGTGTGCCGTAGTGTGTGCTCATTCTCTCCGTGTGCCATAATGTGTGCACTCATTCTCTCCGTGTGCCGTAGTGTGTGCACTCATTCTCTCCGTGTGCCGTAGTGTGCACTCTTTCTCTCCGTGTGCCGTAGTGTGCGCGCTCATTCTCTCCGTGTGCCGTAGTGTGTGCACTCTTTCTCTCCGTGTGCCGTAGTGTGTGCACTCTTTCTCTCCGTGTGCCGTAGTGTGCACTCATTCTCTCCGTGTGCCGTAGTGTGCACTCATTCTCTCCGTGTGCCGTAGTGTGCACTCATTCTCTCCGTGTGCCGTAGTGTGTGCGCTCATTCTCTCCGTGTGCCGTAGTGTGTGCACTCATTCTCTCCGTGTGCCGTAGTGTGTGCACTCTTTCTCTCCGTGTGCCGTAGTGTGCGGGCTCGTTCTCTCCGTGTGCCGTAGTGTGCACTCATTCTCTCCGTGTGCCGTAGTGTGCGGGCTCATTCTCTCCGTGTGCCGTAGTGTGCACTCATTCTCTCCGTGTGCCGTAGTGTGCACTCATTCTCTCCGTGTGCCGTAGTGTGTGCGCTCATTCTCTCCGTGTGCCGTAGTGTGCGCGCTCATTCTCTCCGTGTGCCGTAGTGTGCGCGCTCATTCTGTCCGTGTGCCGTAGTGTGCGCTCATTCTCTCCGTGTGCCGTAGTGTGCGCGCTCATTCTCTCCGTGTGCCGTAGTGTGCGCGCTCATTCTCTCCATGTGCCGTGGTGTGTGCGCTCATTCTCTCCGTGTGCCGTGGTGTGTGCGCTCATTCTCTCCGTGTGCCGTGGTGTGTGCGCTCATTCTCTCCGTGTGCCGTGGTGTGCGTGCTCATTCTCTCCGTGTGCCGTAGTGTGCGTGCTCATTCTCTCCGTGTGCCGTAGTGTGTGCGCTCTTTCTCTCCGTGTGCCGTAGTGTGCGGGCTCGTTCTCTCCGCGTGCCACTCTCTTTTGAGGAAGATTTACTGTGTAGCTGGAGGTGACCTTGACTTGTCTCTGACCCTCCTGTCTCCATCTCCTGACTGTTGGAGCTCTTTGCCTGTGCCACCATGCTTGGTTTATTTGGTGCTGGGAAGGATCTAAAGCTTCCTGCATGCTAGGCAAAGCGCTCTCCCATCCGAGCCACATCCTTAGCCTTCAAATGCAGTATTTTCTACCATTCTATTCTATTTATAAATGAACACCAAAATCTTGAGTATCTCTCATAGCTTCAGCAATGGGTGAGTTTGCCCATTTTGACATGTGACTTGTGGTAATATTTCATTTGTATTTTAATAAATAAAGCTTGTCTGAAGCTGGTTAGCATTACAGACCAGGCAGTGGTGACACACACCTTTAATTCCAGTAGCCACAGCAGATTGCCATAGAAACCCAGCGGTAGTGAGTGGTGCACCCCTTTAATCCCAGCCCTAGAAGGAATATTAGATGGGAGGAGACAGCTCTCAGACACAGTCAGGATCGTCATTTCACACTGAGGTCGAGGTAAGAGCCAGTGATTGGCTGCTTTGCTTTACTGACCTTCAGGTTGAACCCCCAAATCCGACTCTGGGTTTGTATTAACCCCGCTGCAGTGGCTAGTGAAGTGACCCACTGTGTGGGTAAGCACAGTTCATCTGCGAAACAGCCAAGCTTTGCACTTTGGGATGGGCCACTTTCTTTTTCTTAAAAGAACTTATTTTTAAGTTAAGTGTGTATATACGAGGGAGGTGCACATGAGCGCCCGTGGTCGTGAAACCGGAGTCACTCGCAGTTGTGGTCTGCCAGGTGGGGGTGCCGGGAACAGACTGTTGTCCTCTGAAGGAGCAGTGGTGCTTCCAACTGTTGAGCCATCTCCCCAACCCCCATTGCTTTTTTTTTGTTACATTTTCTTACTTCAAGCACTTCCCTACCTGAGGTTATTTCCTTAGAACAGATCCTCAGAAATGAGATTCCCAGGTCAAAAGACATAGATATTTTTATGGCTTTTAATACATACCGTGAAATTGCTTTTTGAAAGGGTTATACTAATTTACAACGCCACCAGCGTTTCCAGAGGCAACACAGGTGCTATTAAGAATGCTAATCGATAAAATACTGTACCCTAGTTGTTAAAATTTCGCCTTTTTTGAGGCTCATAAAATTAAAGTTTGTTGAAGAATGAGTATACAATACAAAACATTCTTTTGGGATATCTTTATTTTTGGAACAACCTAAGCAATTCTCCGCGGTGAACAACAGAAAAAGAACACATGTTGTTAGGATTGGCACAAACTGGCTTTGACGATCAATCCTAACGCCAAAACACTCGATCGACTTTTCAGTGCTTCTGCTAACAGCAAACAGAGGGGAAAAAAATGTTGAGGAATCAAGCGGTGCAAGTTTACAGAGAAATCTGGAGCTCGGCTGCTTTTCATTAAACTGCGTTCCCTTGGGTACGCGTGCAGAATTCCTGCACTCTGCCCCTTTCCTCCCTCCTTCCATCCTTGACTCTTTCTTTTCGGGCCACGTGCAGAACCCCTGAATTTCTGTGGAGAAGGCGTAGCAGCACTTTGCAGCTCTCCTGCCCCGGGTTTGCGAATCCACCCGGTGTGGCCATACTTCCAGGAGAGGCGTGCGAAGCTGCGGCCGGAATCCGGCTCATGTGCGGCGAGCCCGGGAGGGACTGTCTAGGCTAGCCGAGGTCGAGCGTTCCGAGCCCTGGATCCGCGACTGCAGCTTGGGACAGGCACCTATGACTCATCGGCTCCGCCGGTCACATGGACAACGTGACCAAAATAAAGTTTCAGTATTTTAAGCCGCTAGAAAAGGGGACAGAGAGATGCGAGGCGGGCGGGAGCGTAGGGCTGCCGCGGGGACGCAACGCCGGCCAGGGGGTGGGGACCGGAGACCAGGAAGGGGCGGGGCCTGCCGTAGGGGGCGGGGCCTATTGGGAGGCGCGCCCCTCCCCCCGCGGCGGGCAGCGACGTCCGGACTCCCGGCCGAAGGGTTCGGGGACACCACGAGCACGCCTCGGCGCCTCGCGTCCTGTCCCCCAGAACCGCCCCCCGCCATCGCCGCAGGATGCGGGATCCCGGAGATCCGGCGTGTCCCCCACAGACACCGGGACCCCCACGCGCCGGCAGCGGCTTCCCCGGGAACGTCCTTCAGCTCCGGGAGCACGCGGGAAAAGCCCCAGCACGCCAATGAGCGAGCGCCTTCCTCATGACGGTCACGCTGGGGGGCGGGGCTTCCCACAGCCGTTCCCGAGTTCCGGGAACCCCCTTTGATTGGTCTGGACGGCTTGGGAAACACTATTGTGACGCCCAATCAAAACACTACGTCTCGGCCTCGAGGAAATATTCCGTGTCAGGCTCGTCCTGATTGGACCGAGCTTGCGAGCTCTGGCCACTAGGAAGCTTTGTTTAGATCTGGAGGGCGGGTTTTCCTGGGAGTGGGTGGGGAGGGGGCGTTGATTCCAGACCAATCACATTAGTCGGTGCGGTGGTGCTCAGCCAATGGGCTGGGTGGATAGGACGCTCCTCCCGGAGAGTAGTGAGACCCCTGGTGCAGCCCGATTGGTCACAAGAGCCGTGATTGGCAGTCGCACTACCCAATGGGCGCTGTGCGTGGGCCGCGGGGCGGGGCCAGGGCGGGTGCGCGGCGGCGGCGGGGTGGCTGGGCCGGCGGCGGCGGCGGTACGAGGCGCGCGCTCGGGGTCCCGGTCGCGAGGAGGAGGAGGATGTGGCGCGCGGAGGGGAAATGGCTGCCGAAAACAAGCCGGAAGGTGAGAGCCGGAGCGCGAGGGCCCGGGGCTGTCAGGGTGGCGGAGGCACGGCGGGCCCGGGGCCGCGCCGGACATCCCGGGCATCGGCGGCGCGGGTCGCGAGCGCGGGGGCGCGGCGGGCGCGGGGAGGGCGCGGGTAGGGTGGGGGGGGCGGAGCGCGGCCGAGTCCTGAGGTGACTCGCGGGCCGGCCAAGCGCGGCGCCCCGCACCCAGCCCCGGGGGCGGCAGGCCGGGGCGGGGGGCGCGCGGGGCGGGGGCCGGGCCCAGGGAGGAGGAGGAGGAGCCGAGGCACCTCCCGCACCCGGCCCGGGGCATTCCCGCCGCGCCGGCCAGGGCGTGAGGGGGCCGCGGGGAGGAAAGTTTCCCGGGCCGCGGGGTCTCGCGGTCATCCGTGCCGGCGACCGTGGCGGCGTCAGGGCCGGACGTTCCCTTCCACAGCCCCCCTCGGGCTGCGAGGCGCCTCCTAGCGCCGGCGTGGGGGGTGTCCCCGCGCGGGTCCCCGCCAGGGGGCCCCCCTCGTGCCGAGCGCCCCTCGGCTGAGGCCCCGGGCGACCCCTCCCCCAGCAGGGCCGGGGGCCTCGTGCGGCCTCCCCGCCCCTCACGGCGTGCTCTTCCACTCTTGCCCTTGCACCCTCACTGCCGGGAGGGTGGGGTCTCCACACTGCCTTGCCCTTTACCTTCGGTGACCCCGATCCTCGTCGAGCCCGGAGGGTTCCGTGCGAGCCTGTCCCCCTTTTCCGGCAGTCTCGTGGGGCCGCGGAGCCTCGGCACGCCGGGTTTACCCTTCTTCGCCAGGACAAGGGGACTCGGGCTTACCCATGCTCTTCTTTCTTTGCTCGCCCAGTGGCTCGCGGGGCCCTGTGCAGCCCTGAAGTCATTCTCCATAGGAAGGCAGACACTTTTTCCAGATCTCCACTCTCCGCACACTTTCCTGGGTTAGGGTGAGCTCATTTCCTGAATACCCTTCGAGTTGCCCTCTTTCTCGTGGGGAAAACCGGACGCTCCAGTGCTCCTCTCCGCTGTCTGCCTCTCTCCTTGGAGTTCCCTGTCTGGGCCAGGGTGGGCGCCCCAGTAAGATGTAGGGCAGCCAGGGCTTTCGATGTGTCTACCACTTGAGTGAAAAGAAACCTCAGCGATTACTCCTTTCTCGAAGGAAAACAGGATCTATAGCTTCCCGTTCATTCTTGGATCTTAGGGGGCACCCTTCACCAATTAACACTACCCCACTGGGAGAAGGGTCATATGCCCTTGAATTTTGTGTTCTGATGCCTGTTTTCTGAGCAGTAAGAACCATACTTTATGCATCCCACTCAAGAAGTCTTTGAATCTTTCTTGGAAATAAACTTCCCACCCCCCCCCCCCTTTTTTTTTTGAGAGAACTCATATCCTCCTTATGGCTTCTGTTTCCCAGTCAGCCATATTTAGTGAGCCTGTTACCTTGACTTTTTCTAATTTTTCTCAAATTGTATTCATGTTGGCTGGGTAAGGAGAAGCCATATGCCTTTCTATCCAGAATAGGGAGCGTAGACACCCTTGTCGCCCACATGCCATTTGAGAAGAGGTAGCTTGTGTGCTCCCTGTGGTACCAGAACCTTCCTTTGCCCTGGTATGTCTCTAGTGGGATCAAAACATTTCTTTGGATCTTGTACCTTTCAGGCAAAGGGGAAATGTCTCTCTTTTTTGCTGTTTTGGTTCTCTTTGGCATCACGGAGCTTGTGATGCCCTGCACAATTGTTTAAGATGCAAACCACTTGGTACATACATGCAGTCACATTCGTACATGGAGAGAGGAAGTTCGAAGGGTCAGGTGAAAGCTCTTTGCTCAGTGTGTGTGTGAACTGTTAGCATGCAAGCTTGTGTATTTATATATACATATCCAAATATGTTGTTGGTGACTTCAGGCTTAGAAGAATCAGAAGTATCTTTGATAAATGCCATTTGTTACCACTCCTTCAGTTGTCATTTGTATTGTACCGAATAAGCAGAATGCCACCCAGAGCAGTCACCACATCTCCAGTGTGGAGTGCTTGTCGATGAGTGCCCAGACTTTTCCATTTGGAATCTAGGGATGGTATTCTTGGCTTGATTCTGTGGGGAGTAAAAGTTGTTCTTGATTTTTTTTTTTTTTAAACTGCAGTATAGGAGAAAGATTTCCCATGTTTTGGGAAAACGATAGGAAGTGAAGAAAAAGCTGCTTTTCCCTAATAGAACTGGGAACTGATGTCCTCAAGTATGTTCCTGTTGTATTTCAGCCAATGAAGTGAGAGACACCATGAAATTAGGAAAAGGTACCTTTGGAAAAGTGCTTGCCACTTCCTGGGAAGGTGGCAGGGTTTTTCCAGGTTCTTCTCTCTGGGGTTGGTGAGTGTTGAGAGTTCAGCAGCTCTGGCTCTGTTCAGGTGCCTCACTGCTCTGTCTCTTGCATTTCCCTCAGCAGTTAAGTCTTACTTGTGTGGAGCTTCACCCTGCATCCAGCTCTGTGCGTGTGCACACGTGCCTTTGCACACTTTCCTAGGAAGGGAGCCCTCTACCTTGATTTCCCAAGTAAGGAGATGTCTCAATTGACTTCTGGTTTTGCTTTTCAGCGTGGTACCCACCGCCAGAAAATAAAGCTTTTGGTCTGATTTTCCTGGGTGTGTCTGTGTGTCTTCTTCCCCTTTTAGGCTGTTTTCATCCTGTACCTCTCGTTAGCTTAGGGGGCTTGTTTGTTTCTAGGGGTGCTAGTGAGCCTTGGAAAAATGAAAAGTGGAATACCTGCTACGTATGTTGGCATAGATCCAGGAGAGTCATCTTGTTTCTGGTGCTGGCTCTTCTGTGCCCTTCTCCAGGCCACCAACTACCTTTGGGAGTTGTCCTGTCCAGCAGGGTGCCACACATGGGGACTGAGCAAGGTGAGGTAATGAAGGTCTAGCTGCTTGTCAAAGTTGGACGAGCAGGCACTTATGGTTTGGCTGGGCTCTGGGTGGTTGGGAATCAGTGCTTTCCTCCTGCCCTCTGCAGGATTTTCTCTTGCAGTTGGCCTGGTTACTGTGGTTTCCTTAGTCACTTTGCTTTTTTTTCCTTTGTATCTTTCTGTGCGAACGTGACTTCCCCTTCCATCTCTCATTCACCAGCATTTTGGGAAAGGCCAGATGATCTTTTTTCTCTTGTCCCCTTGAAGACCTGATTCACCCTGTTTCTGGGAAATGTTGGGTTTCTACATCTCACCTTTCAGTGGATTCTGCATGTTGACTTGTGCACAGCAACCTCTTCTCAAGGTCAGATGGGGTCAGCTTTCCCTTTTCAAAAGACTAGCATCACTCTTGCTCTTGGAGGTGAGTTTATGTCATATTTAGCCACCTCTTCATTCTTTTCACTTTATCAAAAAATTGAATATTTTGTCTTGAGACAGGTCATGTTTTGTAGCTCAGGCTAGCCTAGAGTTTATTGTGTACAACAGTTTGGGCTTGAACTTGAGGATCAGTCCTCAGGCCTCAGCCTTCTGAATGCTGGAGTCATAAGCAGGGGGTGCCATGCCCTGCTCAGCCCCATTTTTTGATACTTTAGTTTTTATTTTTAGGCCCTGGTGATTTTGGCTTTTCCCCCTGAAATGGCCCTTTGGAGAATGAGGATGGAACAGTTTACCTTTGTTTACTAGGTGTTAGTCTGTGTGCCAGACGGATTTGAATTCTTTCTGATCTTGAGGTAGCCACTCTTGTGCCCGTTCCCTACACCCTGTTCATGACTTTGGCCCATCCTTATGTCCTGTTCGTGGCAGCTTGGAGAACACTCCCTTTGCATCTTATGGGAACAGGAATAGAAGAGGGTTCTCACATCCTTGGCTTCCTGCAGTTGTGCCTATTGAGTCTTTAGTGGCATCTCAGTGTCTGCTCTTTTGACATCATTGTCGTGTCTGCTCTCCTTCACTCAGCTATTCACTCTGGAACCCTTTCTTGGATGTTTGTTGTGTGCAAGGAGCTGCAGGGTTTAGTGACTTTTGCCTGAGACCATAGTGGATCTTGTTAGCCTTTTTTTTATAAATGACATGTTACTTTATCTATACTTGACTTTAATAAAGTTCTATAAACTTTTCTGATTTTAATTTTTGTGTGTTGTAATCTTATAAAAAAATCTTCAATAATGTGCGTTCTTGTGGAGCTTTTCCCTTCCATCCTGGAGGAATAGGGGTGGTGAAGATGTTAGAGGGTTTACTGGGAGAGGTGTTTTGCAGCTTTCCTCTAGGTTGTGGGGTTTGTGTTTGTGTGTGTGCACATATAAGAAAATAGTCACTTTTTTTTTTTTTTTTTGGTTTTTCGAGACAGGGTTTCTCCGTAGTTTTTTTGGTTCCTGTCCTGGAACTAGCTCTTGTAGACCAGGCTGGCCTCGAACTCACAGAGATCCGCCTGCCTCTGCCTCCCGAGTGCTGGGATTAAAGGCGTGCGCCACCATCGCCCGGCAAAAAATAGTCACTCTTAATGTGACTGTCTAGGTATAACTTTTAGGTAATTTAGATATGTGATCGGAATGTTTAGTATACATTAGAACAACAGCATTTCATACAGGTATTATATGCATGGAACATAGCATTTATACATAACAGATCATTTTTACATAAAGAGCTTTTAGAAAAGCATTATTTTCTAATGATCTCCTTGGTTCATGTATTAAGCACTGGATAAGACATCACTCTGTTTGCTGTTCAGTTATCTAAATCTAATGCCTAAGGTTGGCCACCACTCCAAGGCCAGAGCCGGTACAGTTACTAGCTGCTTATGTGACTTCCAATTCTTTATGCTGTTTGATAGTACTGTTATTTGTATCTTTCTTTTTTCCTAAAACCTGATTCTTTTTGCGTGCAGATGAGGTATACATCATGATATTGACATTGATCAAAGGTAATCTGAAGTGTGCTTATTTTCCTCTCCCAAGTCAGGTTTTCTCTCACAGAGGCTGTAGAAGCCATGTCTGTAGCTGTCACTCCTGTGGCAACCCATACAGTCTGTGGATGGATGTCCCTTTGT